GTAATCGGAGCAGCAGTGACAACTGAACAATTCATATTCTGTCAGGCGGCAGCTGCACCTTTTACAAATAGCTTTCATTAAGAAATTGTAAATAAAAAATTATTTTCAACTTAAAAAGAAAATCCATTTTTATCACAGCCAAATCCATAGTTTTTCTTACAAATTCTTGACTTTTTATAAATTAATAATTTCAACTTAACTTAATAAAATTAAATTCGATTATGCCTTGTATTTTCTTTGAATTACCACAGAGAAAACCGAAACCGGCGTTCCGGAGTTTATGAAAAGCGATAAGTCGCCAGAGGTAAGTTCTCCATTGAATAAATAACACTTTTCTACAACTTCACGTTACAATATTCCCTTTCGCCATACAGTATTCCATGGTGCCGGAGCTGGCAGCTGCTGGTATCTTCGGATCGGAGAATTTGCCCGAATACAACATGAACCCCAAGTGCTTGAAGGACTTTGAGAAGCTGGAGAAGCGACGCATCAAGGAGGAAACGGCCAGACTGCGTAAGCTTCAGGAGAAGGAGAAGGAACAGGAAAAGAAGCTCAAGCGCAAGCTCAAACAAAATGCCAAGGGCCTAGTTGAATCCGCAGAGGCGCAGTTTGGCAAGCTGATGATTAGCTCCGAACAGGGTGAGATCCCCATCTTCCTCAACAAGTGCGTGGAGTTCATAGAGAAGGAGGGTCTGGATTCCGAGGGCATTTATCGGGTACCCGGAAGCAGGGCACACGTCGACATGCTCTTCCAGCGATTTGAAGACGGTATGATTGCCATAAAAACTCATAGTCTAACTAGGGGAGTCGTGTTAATATTTTAAAATCTGTGCAGATACTAACACTGAGATTGATGCGTTGGACATTCCCGTCAACGCAGTGGCCACGGCACTGAAGGACTTTTTCTCCAAACGTCTGCCGCCGCTGTTTAGCAAGGACATAATTAAGGAGCTGGAGGAGATTGCCGGTATATAGCAGCTAAGAGTTACTCCTTTCGGGCCTTTTTAATAATTATATTTTATATTTTGCAGGTTCCCGCGGCGTGGGCAACTCCAAACTGAATGTGGAGGTCAAAACGGACCGGAGTTGTCGCTTGATAGCTTTAAAATCGCTGCTGCAAAAGCTGCCGCCCATCAACTTTGCCATACTCAAATACATATTCCAGCACTTCGTGCAGTAAGTTCGAGCAAATACCGATTCCTAATTATTTCATTCTTTAATGTACATTTTCTACAGTGTGTCGGACAACTCAAAGCTTAATAGCATGGACAGCAAGAACTTGGCCATCTGCTGGTGGCCCACACTCATACCCATCGACTTCACCGACATGGGCCACTTCGAGCAGCTGCGTCCATACCTGGAGGACATTGTCCAGACAATGATTGACCAGTTCCCGTATCTGTTCTGCGGCAAGGACGCTTTTGTCATGGTCTAGGCCTAGATCCCCGCCAGGCCATGGCACACTTGGACTTCTACTTGACCGCCGGACGCGAAGCCAAAACGAGATAGTTAGATTCAATGTGCGTTTGTGTATGAATGTGGGCGCCAGTGCCATGTGTGCTTTGTGTTTTTTGGGTGATCTAAAGAGCATTTTAGTAATAGCCATAGGAAGGAGAAGGAGGCAGGAAGCGTTAGCAGGAGGCAGCCCATCGATCGATCGATTCATTCAAATGAGGATCAGCAGCCAGGCATATACATATTTATAATAGTATATAATATACGTGGGTCTATTGTGTGCAGTGTGTGATTAGTGATTGTGTGTGCGAGCGAGACAACAGAACTTGGCTAAGTAGGGTATATTTATTTTTTATATATACAATATATATTTTGTATCGATGGCTTTGTTGTGTTTCCGTGATATATGTAAACGCGTCAAGTATTTTCTCTGTATGGTGCGTCCTTTGTCGTTGAATCCATTGAGTGAGACCTCCCCTCGCCGCCCCCCAGACCCCGCCCCTCCGCCCACATCGTCGACTCCTCTTTTTCCATCCACCACCCACACTTGCCCCTCCCATCAAAAGGGGCGGGGCGGGGGCGCCAGCGACAACGCACAAAAAAAAACCAAGAATTAGATGGGCGCATGAAGAGATATCTAGTATGAAGATGGTTAAATAAAATTTACTGTGTATCTGTGTATGTTATAAATGTAATTGTAATTGTATGTTAAAAATAATGCGCGATCAGCAAACAAATTTCCATATAAACAAAATAGCGATAATGCTAGATATATAATATATATTTAAATACCACTAAATGTCTGTGTGTCTAGCGTAGGAGAAAGTAGATGAGGAGGAGGAGGCTTAGGGAGAAAGGACTACCGAGTAAAAAAAAAACTTTCTAAAAAACAATAAGAACAACCGAGCAAAATCTAATTTTCGAGCTAAACTAAATGTGCATCTCAGTGTGTGTGTCTGTATATGTATGTTTGTCATCCAACTAGATATACACTATATAATTATATAGCTACCGTATAAGCAAAAAATGATAATTACTACGAAACGGCAATGGAAATCTCCCACAAAACAAAAAACGAAGAAAATAAACTCAAATTTCCCCCCACACTCGAATCTCCACTGATTGTCTAATTGATATTTGCATAAACCAGGCATATAATCCTTAATGTAATACTCTCTCTCTATCTGTCTCTCTAAAAACAAATTGTGTGTGTGTACTGTATCAAATTAGCAAAACAACAAATTATACAATTTCTACCCATGTACGCATATATTTTAACTAAAAACGAGGAGCAGATATTCAAGAAAGGTAAGCTGAAGAAAATAATGCAGACAGGCAGAGGCAAACAAAAAAAAAAGTAAAAAATTATAGACAACATACGCCTAAGTGTTATTCCTTGTAATTGAGCATTAATTTTTTATATAAAAACCGAAACTTAATTATGTAATTGTGTATCTTGTGTCTGAAACGGACCTCAAACTTAAAGGAAGAATATACGCGAGATCTGTTGCCAAAAAAAAACAGAAAAAAATAAGCACTCAAAATAAAATTTAAAACAAATAACGAGAGAAAAAGAAAAGAAAAACTTAACCATTATATAGTATAATTTGTATAGATGTGTGTCTATTGCATTATTTGTACACGTACATATATATACTGTCTATATATTACCGTATATATGTGTATGCATTTATTTATATACGCTAAACTGAAACAAAAAACAAATATGTCTAAACGAACCGAAAAAAATGCAAAACAAAACGAACAAAAAAATTGTAATTGACGTGATGTGTAATGATATTTTTAAAAGCAAATTTTATGCCACGCCCATGCCAAGCAGCCACGCCCCCTTTTTAACGGAAAAGGGACTCCGCAAAAGCGCTCTTCCCGAGCGGAATGCCGCGACTCTCCCCGTCCCGCTCGCCCCATTCCACCTCTCACTCCCACGCTCCGGAACCCGGATCCATGGATCCTCCATGTCAGATGGTGGCCACTTCTCCTGGGCTACATCCAAAGGGCTGGTTGCGATGTGGAGGCGTCACAACCAAAAGACGAGAGAAAAATAATGAAATCAAATCAAACAAAACAAAAATAAATTTGTGGGCATTTTCCAAATATTTGTGAAGCATTTGGAAATCGACTTTTTTCTGGGGGTGCCAGGGATGCTTAAATTCTAAGCAAATTTAACACCATATTAAAATACCTTATTTCGTTTTTAAAAATGCCGTATTCTTTTAAATTTTTATTGTTGTTTAATTCTGAAGGTACACAAGACATCCCAATTGTTTATTGGTCCAGACACACCAGTGAATTCCGAACGTTTGTCCATATTTTATCAGCCTATGTGCGTGAAATTTGTCACTACGCATACTGTAAATTAAGAATTTAAAACAGCGTGGTAAGCTTAAAGGCCAATTGCTATCACTTGTGAATATTTACCCAGTCATGCGCTGAACTATATTTTTCTTATCAGATATACATAAGTTGTCTCCGGCTGCACCAGAATCTATTCCCTCCGTTTTCAGCTCATAAGACTCTTAGTCACTGCCAATTTTAAAATCATGGTAATGATTATTATGCTGATTTTAAGATCGGCAGTGAGTAAGAATCATACGAGCTAAAGACGGTGGCCCTAAATTCTGGAGCAGCCTGCTCCATATCCAAGCGTTTTGATCATCCACATGGTGTTGCTCTTAATCCTCAGGTCAATTTATTGCTCAAGGCGTTTTGTTCCTGCTGGACTTGCTTATTTGATTTTGGGTTGATCTTCACAAACTATTATTTTCTATTTGATTTTTAGTTCAAATTGGTTTATAATCTGAATATTTTGAACATTTGGTAACAAAAACGACCGAAGTTCTTTAAAGCTCGACTTCATTATGTTGAACTAATTTCAAACAGGCGCTTAAATAGGCGAATTTACATACACATACATACACGAGATAAGAATTTCGTCAGAATTTAAATATATTTTTAAAAACACGTAATCTTTTTGAAACTTCCGGCTAGCGACATATATATACATTAGGGTGGACCGGTGTGTATGGACCCGAAACATCTGTCATTCATGCAATATTGGGGATAACCCTAACTTACTTATTTGCTGAACAATGATAGTCTACTGTCATAGACAATATCTGGCTTGGATTAGAATATAATATTTGAAATAATTTGCCTTTAAAGGCAAAACCAAATTCTCTACGAGGTGAGAAATTCAAATCATGACAATCTGACACCCTTAATATCCATAAATTCTGATACCAAATTTTATGTCGGAAAAATTATAATAATTTCAGTACTTATATAGATTTTCTGTTTCTCTCGGACCAATTAATTTTTTTAGTCTAGTTATTAGTACTAGTTAAAAGATGCCTCTATCGGTATATAAAAGTAACTGATGGAACCATCATAACCAATTTTTAATTCTTCGGTTTTATAACCGTCCACATAGTGGACGACCGTCCCCCGTGATTCCAATAGTAGGATTTCATTTAATTGACTGTTTTTCACACTTCAAATCGGTTATGTTTGGATCTCTATTTAAATGTTAGAAATTATAACAAATGAATTGCTGTAGATTTGTACAATTCTTTATAAAATCATTAAATTAGTATCAATAAACCAAAACGTCTATTAAATTACAAATTATTATTTAGGAAATAATTGGCATTAATTTATTCACACAGTCGAGCCCTAACTTAGCTACCCAAAAGACTGGCCGCAATGGCCTCCGTGTCCATTAAAGTCATCTTATTCGTTAGCTTGGACTTCTTGTAGACGGGCTCCTCATCGGAGCTGTCTTCGACGTCGTCGTCTTCGTCATTGTCGGTTGCATCGCCTTTTTCTGATTCAGATAAAGATTTCACAACCGCATCCCGATCTGAAGCATTAGCCTTATTGCTGTAGATCTTGTCGGGATCTGGCAGCCAGGAGAGGTCCACTGAGTGATCACTATCGCCGTCAGCACTTTCGGCATCATCAGCATCTTGGTCCTCCACCTCCTCGTCGCTTCCCTTGGCTTCCTCCGTCTTTTTGCGCAGCTTCTCCCTCTGCAGTTTGTGACGTTTCTTGACCAGCTCCCGGAATCGCTGTTTATCGTACTGATCCTCCTCAGTCAGCAGTGCCTTGGACAGCACCAGATTGATTCCTCCGTCGTCGTCGTCTTCGTTTTCTGTTCGCTGCCTGGCACTTAGCGCCTTCATTTGACTGCGATCATCCGCCACCGTTTCGCCCTCCTCATCGAACTTGAGCTTGGAGTTAACCTGCAGATTCTTCTTCAGGGCCTTCTTAGCCAGCGAGGCCTTGGTGACCAGCTTCTCCCGCTTGGGCACCACCAGGGGGCCCTCTGGCTCGTCCTCGTTGCCCTCGGCCTCGTCCAGTACTACTGGTTCTCCTTCGACATCGTGATCCTTACGTTTCACTTTGATAAAGTCTTCGTCATCACTGTCATCTTCGTCTTCGTTAGCGCCGCCAAAGCTCTGTTGTTTGGTCATCTTGGTGAGAACTGGATTGGTTACTGGTGGGACATCACCCTGTTCCTTCTGCTGCTGCATCTGTTTCTGCCGCCATAGGAACTTTTCCAAGAAAGGAACGCGCGGCGTAACAGCCAGACCCAGCGACTGCGCAAATGCATCTAAATCCATGCTAAAGACATTAAACAAACGTTTGTTGCGCATTAGGAAAACGGATTTTATGTAGGAGAGAAAGGCACGCTGGGCGGTGGCTCTCAGTTCGGGAAATTGGGCCAGAAAGGCCTCGATCTTGACGCGCGGCGAGAAGAGTTTCTTTGGATCGATTTGTACACAGCGGATATTAACATTCAGCTGCTCCTTGAGTGCACTAATCATATACTCCTCCTCACTGGGGGTCAGTACCAGAAGACACTCGCCGCGTGTCTTATTCCGCGCAGAGCGACCCGCTCGATGAATATACTGTGAGACATCCTCCGGGCAGTCCAACTGCACCACCCAGTTGACGGCGGGAAAATCCAGACCGCGTGAGGCCACATCGGTGGAGAACATTACCACGTGACTTTTGCGCAGGAAATCCTCATAGATGGCAATGCGACGATCCTGATGGAGGGTTCCATAAAGAGCCAGCAGTGGACTACCCGGACGCAGTTTGCAGAAAATCTCGTACAGATACTTGGCTTGCTTGCAACTGGACACAAACACTATGATCTTTTGCTTTAAATGGTTCTTAATGAACGACCACAGCATGGTGATCTTGTCCTCGAGATTCAGCACCACATAGCTCTGCTGCAGAAGCTCGGGGAGGGCTAAGACAGCGGTGCTCGGACCCTTCATGGAGCTAGAGGTTTCTTCGCCTGACTTTGCTTTTCCGTAGCCCACATAGACTGGATCCTTCAGATTAAGCCTTGCCAAATCCTGCACCGTGTTCGTTTGCGTGGCCGAGAAAAGTAGCGTTTGACGCACCGGTGGAAAATTTTCAATAATAGAGTTAAGTGCCTTTTGGAAACCCATATCCAAACAACGATCGGCTTCGTCCAGGACCAACACCTCCATTGTGCTCGTATTAAAGAGCGGATTCTCGTCCATGTGCTGCAGCAGGCGGCCCGGTGTGCAGATGAGGATGTTGCACTGGTCCATGCGAGTCCGCTCGAACTTTAGGTTCTTCCCGCCGATGATGAGACCAGCGGAAAAGTCATGGTGCTTGCCAACTTTCTTCAGGGTCTCAAAAATTTGGTAGGCCAGCTCGCGGGTGGGCGAGATAATGATGGCGCCAACGCCATCGGTGCGCGACCATTTGTTCATAAACAGGTGCTCTAGAACCTGCAAAAGATTACAGCGTTATATTCTTTATATTCGGTGATTTCTCCCCTGGAAATCGGTAATCCAAGAACTTCGAACTTACGGGTATGAGGAAGGCCAGAGTCTTGCCACTTCCTGTGACAGCCGCGCCCAGCACATCCTTGCCCAGCAGCGCAGGTCCAATGCTCTCCCGCTGCACCTGCGTGGGATGCACGAACTTGGACTCCGCCAGCGCCTTTTGGGTCTTTTTGGACAGCGGAAACTGTCCAAACTTCTTAATGGCAGGCGCGTCTATTTCCGCGTATTTGCTCTGCAGTTCTTTAATCTCTGCATCGGTGGCGGCCAGTCGGGACTTGTTAAACTCCTGGCGTGGACGCTTCTGCTTGTTGTCACCGCTTCCCCGGGCGCCATTTGCTCCCTTGCCTTTGCCGGATCCCGGTTTGAATCGCGGACCCGGTCTTCCCGGTCCCTTGGGTTTCTGGCGCTGCATTCCCTCTGTTTACTGCCCAAAATGTATTGGATTCGATCCCGGTTGAAAGCTGCACGCGGTTGGTATTAGAGGTGGACTCAAAATCAATTTAGAATTCGTGTCACGAATTTTTGTAATTTATGTGATCTAGTTCCACACATAGATAAATCAGTGTGACCGTCCTCGGTTGTACACTGTAATTTTGTGCCACCATTCAACAGTGCCGAGCGCTGAGTTTTTAAGGGGGCTTAACTCCATCAAAACGTTTTAAAAGTACTTTTCTCCCACTCTTATTCCTGCTCTTCAAAAAAGCCATAAAATACCAAAAGGACCATAAATAAAATACAGTTGCAGTTTCGCCATTTAACAACACTGGCTATGGGGGTAGCAGGACTCGGTTGCCTTGGCAACTCTGTACGGCTGGGTTCACACACTCCGGCAACCCTGTCGTGCAGGTGTTCGCACAAGTCGACAACCCTAGCGGCAACAGTTAAAAAATGGTGTGAAACGGCGACGGAGAACGCGGCGTGCAACTGTTGGAAGCCATCGCTTGGTCCTCGTTTTGGTCCCGGGTTTTGGTCCTCCTATTAATCTCCATCTCCGCCCGGTTACCAACACACCATTTCCATTGCCAGTTCCAGTTCCACATCCACACCCCCGCCAGCCAGCCATCAACAACAACAGGAGTAACTCCAATCTCAAAACTCTTGCAATTCCCCTGCGAAATGGGCACCATCTCATCTGTGCTGCAATGGTCGTGCACCAAGTGCAACACGATCAATCCCACAGAATCGCTCAAGTGCTTCAATTGCGGCACGGTTCGCAAGGTGTTCCCCCAACAACAACAACTGCAGCAGCATCAGACGCAGCATCGAAGGGTCGCCGCCTCCTGGACAGCTGATGATGCACTGGAGCAGGAACAGGCTGAGAAGGAGCAGGAGAGGGACAAGGAGAAGGCCAGGGCGGCGGTTGCCAGGTAAGCGGAGCGGTCGCCACAAAAACAAACAGCCTGTGCCTGTTCTATGAGGGTGTATGTGTGTAGGCTCATGCATGTGTGAGGGCCAGTGCAGCCATTCAAGTGAAGGACAGGACAACAAATTTTAGCTAAAAGTATATCAAGAGCCAAAAAGCTGTATACAGGTGTGCCACGGATATCCGTAGTGATATTAAATCAATAGAGATTGAAGCATATGCAATTTAAATTTCAGAATCGGATCTAAAAAAAATCAAAAAATAAAAAAAAATGTTTTGAGTCAAAAATAAGTGAAAGTTTTTTTTTTTAATTGCAAATATTCATAAGCGCTTTTGGCGAAAATGGCACTGATTTGGTTGGTCCTTATTTATTAAATCGTCTAAACTATTATGGCGTAATATATGGACAGCCGATACAAACAAAAGTCATTTCAAGAAATGGTGTTACAACATTGAGCAAAAAAATTCTTGATCACCGTACCGTTTCTGTCAGTTTGAGGCAAAGTTTCTGGATTAACCAAAATTAAAAATATTAGGAAACTAACGTCTAAAAGCACAGGTCGATCTGTATTAAGTTACACTTGGTTGACTGAGAGGAATACAAAACTTAGCTTTTAAAGCTAAGATGTCAGCACTGGCAATTGTCCCTGAGCATGTGTGTGTGTGTGTGAGAGCATGTATACACAGCAGCGGCAGAAGCAACAACAAAACAGCGGAGCAGCGAGAATTGGGGAAAATCGATTTGGATAGAGAAGCATTGTTTACAAGTTTATCGATTCGCAAACTCGCTCGGCAAGCAGAACAGCAGAAGAACTCCCGAGGCGAACGGATGAGCGAGCGGAGAGTAGGAAAATGCCCAGTCATTGAGATAACCTTTGCGGTCAGAAAATCGGGAACCCCACACAAAGTCCCATCCGAGTCCCGACAAAAACGAAAAACCCCATTTACCTATTTTGCAGGAGCGAATACAAGCATGTGTACAAATCCCTGCTGCGTGGATGTTTGAAAAGACCACAACGGAACAGCCAGAACCTGCCAGCCAACTGTGTGGATTGCGAGGACACGCGCAAGTACATCAAGAGCTCCATCGAGCTGTACCGCCACTTCTCGAATCCGGCCCTAAACCGCCGGTGGGTGTGCCACGCCTGCGGCACGGACAACAGCTCGGTCACCTGGCACTGCCTCATCTGCGACACGGTCAGCTATCTGGCGCCCATCTACAAGGACGCCATTGCCGCCGATCGCGACCAGGAGCTGGCCGGAAGTCTGGGCAATCGTGGCGAGCTGCTGGCAGCGGACCACCCTCATCATCATCATCACTACCTCCATCAGGAGCTGGAAGATCAGCATCATCACCAGCATCAGTTACATTCCCAGCATTCGCACAAGAGGCACCTCAAAGGTAGATCTGTATCGGGATCTGGATCTGGATCGGCATCTGGACTGCGGCGCACCCAGAGCCTGAGCACCGCCATCGACAAGAGCGCCTCCGGACGCAGCTGCCACATCTGCTATGCGAACAACCAAAGCAAGGACATCTTTAATCTGCCGCAGGTCAAACCAGCGCCGCAGCTGACAGGTACGTTTCACAGCTGATTTGGAGATAACCACACCAGAGTTGTAATAGAAAGGCTTGGCGAAAGGAGAAATTTGGATATATAAGAAAGTTAATAAATTCTTGTAGCTGTTCCAAAAATGCATTATTCTATACATCGACATTATATCTCAATTTTTTTGTATCTATAATTTTGGATCAGTTTTTTTTTTAATAATTATAGTATATAGTAATAGTATATGTATGTTGAGGACCAACAAAGTTATGTCGATTCCTGTTAGTTATTCGATCTTTTCTATGACAGGTATATACAAGTCTTCCGTTTTTTAAATTTGATATATTATTTCTGATATCGTAAACAAATTTCCGTGAATTGTGATATGAGGGAGGATTCCCTTTAAAAATATAACAGTAATAGTTAGGGTATCCCCAAATCGTTGAATCATAAGGAAATAAAAAAACAAGAAAGGAAGCAAACTTCGGCAAACCGAAGTTTATATACCCTTGCAGTTGTTACAAATCAACTACATTTTGATATCTATGCCTATATTACTAAAAACAATGAAGCTATGTCGATTATGCGCTGCATTTAGCCATCCTTTTTATGGCAGCTATATGATATTGTTGTCCTATTTTAATTTAATAAAAACCGTAATTTCATAATATTTAAATATTAGCTCCTATGGGAGCTATATGATATAGTCGCCCGATCCGGCTCGTTCCGACTTTTATGCTGTCTGCAATAGAATGACAACTTTTGGAAATGTTTCAAGCAGATAGCTTTAAAACTGAGGATCTAGTTTGCGTAGAAACGGACGGACTCTCCTGGTGATGCTGATCAAGAATATATATACTTTATATGGTCGGAAATGTCTCCTTCACTGCGTTGCAAACTTTTGACTGAAATTATAATACCCTTTGCAGGGTATAAATATATTGTTGAATTATTATTGAAAATTATGTCCGAAGTTATTAATTTTGTTTTGCCGCCCCAATAGAATTGGAATTTCGACATCTATAAGGGACATATTTGTTTTGAATTTGGTTAACAGAGAAATGGGTATTGGATAGTCGTGTCACTTGACTATAGAGTCATAATAGTCCCTTGACTTTCCAAATCATATACTACCTGCAATAGAAAAAAGGCTTTTGCGAAAGTATTCCGATCAAGAATATATATATGTGGTCAGAAATGTCTTCTTTTTGCGTTAACAAACTTCCGACTAAAATTAGAATAATAGAAATGGGAGCTCAAAAGGCATTCAAAATATGTGATTGTCTGGAGCCGACATAAAGTAAAATTTAACTTCCCCAAGCTCCACCTCCCTAGATTCGCAACTGGTGAAAGTGATATCATAAATCTCACTAATAATCTTCCTATGTGAAGTTCTAATCCCACTCTTTTTCGCAGGGATTCCCCCCGTGGCCGCCTGCAGCAACTCTCGTTTTGCCATCGCAAATGACACATTTTGCCGGCGCAAACAGAACAATAATAACAAGAATCAAAACCACAAGGTGGTGCGTGAGAGCGGGGCCAGGCGAAAGTACAACTTCACCATCACCACGCTCTCGCGCTCGGCGGCCAAAGATTGCGGCCAGGGCCAGATGAAGCCACTGCGCCAGCCCCTTAATCTGAATCTGAATATCCAGCAGGAGCAGCAGCAGAAGACGGCGGCGAATCCCCAGCAGCTGCAGAAGAAGACCCAGCGGGAGCTAGCAGCAGTGAGTATGAATCCAACGCAGTTCACCATTCCGCGGAACGGCGTCTTCATAGCCGTCAACGAGTGGTCGGAGCCAACGGCCAACAGCTCCTCCAGCTCCAATCATCATCATCACCATCATCATCATCACAGCAACAGCATCAACAACAACAGCAGTTCCAGCAGTGGCAACAAGTTGTATGAGAACGAGTGCGTGGCCTTGGCCCAGCAGCAACTAAGAGCAGCTGCTGCCCAGGCGGCACAGGCAGCCGCCACGGCGGTGGCCATCGCGAGCTCGCCCTCTGGCAAGGCGTCGGCGGAACCACCACCGCAAGCCACCATACCCATCTATGCGCAGGTAAACAAGCAGCACAAGCTCAAGAAGAAGCAACAGATAGCCAACGAAACGCAAACGAACAACAATGGCAGTGGGGAGATCATGGATGCGGTTAGTGACTCCCTCACAGGATTGGGCACCAGTACCGATGGGAACGGCGATGCCAGTGAGTCCGAGTCGCAGGTGGAGGAGCATTCTATCTATGCTAAGGTGTGGAAGGGACCACGCAAAGCGACCGAATCGAAAATGTAATTGCCAGCGAGCGGGCGAAGGAGATTAGCCCACACCCATCCAACTTCCTATCCCAACAAACAAAAACGCCTTTGTTTCCGCTTATCAGTTGACTAGTTTTTTTTTGCTGATAATTTGCGTGGCGCTTAGTCACTAGGGCACTCTGTTTATATTTTGCTTTGCTTTTTTTCGTCTGTCGGCTTTTTCTTTCTGTTTGTTATAAGTTCTGTTTTAATTATTTCAGCTACTTAATTAACTATTGGATATTGACTTTCTTAGAGGTTTTCATTACTTCTGGTAACATTTTGAAAGAAAACTTTATTTAATTGAATTATGTGAAGCCATATGCTAATGGTAGTCTTTAATAAAAATGAAAATGTGTTTCTAATATAATAACAGTGTTCCTGAGAGTTTTGATAACCTGTGTGAAAAGTCAGTAATAATATTCTCTTATGATTTTGTTTATCTCCCGTCTTCAATGAATTTTGAACTTGATTGCATTATGATTGATTGCTTTGTTTTCAATTTGCAGTACGCATGATCCAGGGAGCAGTAGTCGCCTCTTAGTGGCATCATCCGCAACAGCATCCTCTGGAGCGGCGGGAGTCGGAGCGATAGCGGCAGCAGCAGGAGCAGTTGCTCCCACTCGTCACGACAATAAAGCACAGTTGGGCAACAGCAACGGCAGCCGCAGCAAGATGTGGACATGCATCAAATGTTCCTATGCCTACAACAGACTCTGGCTGCAGACCTGCGAGATGTGCGAGGCCAAGCCGGAGCAGCAGCAACAGCAACTTCAGCAGCAACACCATCTACAGCAGCAGCAACAGCAGGCAGGTGTGCTATCCTTTATCCAGGAAAAAGGTAGTGTGAACCGATTATTATGTGAACACCAATCTGAGTACATAATCAACGTTTTCAGGAACTCCCCGTGACGAGCCTTGGACCTGCAAGAAGTGCACCCTGGTCAACTATTCGACGGCAATGGCCTGTGTGGTCTGCGGTGGTTCCAAGCTGAAAAGCATCTCTTCCATCGAGGATATGACGCTGCGCAAGGGCGAGTTCTGGACCTGCAGCCACTGTACGTTAAAGAACTCGCTCCATTCGCCGGTGTGCAGTGCTTGCAAGTCGCACCGCCAGCCGCAGCTCTCGATTGCCATGGAGGCAGTGCGGGAGCGACCGGATGGTCAATCATATGAGGAGCAGGATGCCGCAGCCGTCGGTGGAGGAGGCGGAGGCAGCGGAGGTAATGTCCACCAGGCGAGCAGCAGCGAGGTTAAAGCACCCACAGCTTTAAATCTCCCCCTGGCGTCGGTGGCGTTGCCAATGCCGCTGCTGCAGATTCCAACGACATCGGCGGCCGGACTGCGTGGCTCTCGCAGTCCCTCGCCCAGGATGCAGCCACTGCCATCGCTCCAACAGCCGCAACAAAGGAGTTCCAGCTCTTCGGGCGCAATACCCAAACGGCACAGCACCGGCGGCTCCATTGTGCCCAGGAACATCTCCATCGCTGGACTGGCCAGCTACAACTTGCAGCAGGGCCAGGGAGTGGGCTCCGCATCGGTGGTGCCCGCATCGGGAGTCGGGGTCAGTTTCAGCTCAAAGAAGTGGCAGTGTCCGGCGTGTACGTACGACAACTGTGCAGCTTCCGTGGTGTGCGAAATATGCTCAAGCCCGCGTGGCCTGGCGAGCGCTGTTTTGGGTGAGGCTTTGGCAAGGAAGTCCATTCGAGTGGCCCTCACCCCGGCGGATATTCGGCAGGAAAGTAAGCTGATGGAGAACTTGCGCCAGCTGGAGGAGACCGAGGCGCTGACCAAGTGGCAGAACATTATCCAGTACTGCCGTGACAACAGCGAGCTTTTCGTGGACGATTCGTTTCCGCCGGCGCCAAAGAGCCTGTACTACAATCCGGCGGGCGGTGCGGCCGAGGGCAATCCCGTGGTGCAGTGGCGGCGACCGCACGAGATCAACTGCGATGGAGGAGCGTATCCGCCATGGGCGGTATTTCGCACCCCGCTTCCCTCGGACATTTGCCAGGGAGTCTTGGGAAACTGCTGGCTACTCAGTGCCCTGGCTGTGCTGGCAGAGCGCGAGGATTTGGTTAAAGAGGTGCTGGTCACGAAGGAGATATGCGGCCAGGGCGCATACCAAGTGCGCCTCTGCAAAGATGGCAAGTGGACGACGGTGCTGGTGGATGACCTGCTGCCCTGCGACAAGCGTGGCCATCTCGTCTACTCGCAGGCCAAGCGCAAGCAGCTTTGGGTCCCGCTGATCGAGAAGGCGGTGGCCAAGATTCACGGCTGCTATGAAGCCCTAGTTTCTGGCCGGGCCATCGAGGGCCTGGCCACGCTGACTGGAGCGCCCTGCGAGAGCATACCGCTGCAGGCGAGCAGTCTGCCCATGCCCAGCGAGGATGAGCTGGACAAGGACCTGATATGGGCCCAGCTGCTAAGCTCGCGCTGCGTGCGCTTCCTCATGGGTGCCAGCTGTGGCGGTGGCAACATGAAAGTGGGTTCTACATATTTATATATCTAATTCATATATAATAATACATACCTTTAACCAAAGGTGGACGAGGAGGAGTACCAGCAGAAAGGGCTGCGTCCGCGGCACGCCTACTCGGTGCTCGACGTGAAGGACATCCAAGGTCATCGGCTGCTCAAACTCCGCAATCCGTGGGGTCACTACTCGTGGCGTGGTGATTGGTCTGACGACTCCACTTTGTGGACGGACGACCTACGGGATGCTTTAATGCCGCACGGCGCAAGCGAGGGCGTGTTCTGGATCTCGTTCGAGGACGTGCTCAACTACTTCGACTGCATCGACATCTGCAAGGTGCGCTCCGGTTGGAACGAGGTGCGGCTGCAGGGCACTCTGCAGCCCCTATGCTCCATCTCCTGTGTGCTGCTCACCGTGCTAGAGCCGACGGAGGCGGAGTTCACGCTCTTCCAGGAGGGACAGCGCAACTCTGAGAAGTCACAGCGCTCGCAGCTGGACCTGTGCGTTGTGATATTCCGCACCCGCTCTCCAGCGGCGCCGGAAATTGGTCGTTTGGTGGAGCACAGCAAGCGGCAGGTGGGTGTTTCTATACCTATGCTTATACCACATGAGGTACAGAATCGTTACAATTCGGAAATCGTTTACTTCAGGTGCGCGGCTTTGTGGGCTGCCATAAGATGCTTGAGCGGGACATTTATCTGCTTGTGTGCCTAGCCTTTAACCACTGGCACACGGGCATCGAGGATCCGCACCAATATCCGCAATGCATCCTGGCGATACACAGCTCCAAACGACTGCTGGTGGAGCAGATTAGTCCCTCACCGCACCTTCTGGCCGATGCCATCATCAGCCTGACCCTGACCAAGGGTCAGCGGCACGAGGGGCGCGAGGGCATGACCGCCTACTACCTTACCAAGGCAAGTGTTGAAATACTTAAGGATCTTTGGGGGTCACTTAACAACATTTATTTCCTGTGCAGGGCTGGGCGGGTCTGGTTGTGATGGTGGAAAACAGGCACGAGAACAAGTGGATCCATGTGAAGTGCGACTGCCAGGAAAGCTACAATGTGGTGTCCACTCGGGGCGAACTCAAGACGGTGGACTCGGTGCCGCCGCTGCAGAGGTGTGTGCTCTTTTTTCCGCCTCAATTGGTCAATTAACTAATTGCTTAATTATTTATTGTTCCCATAGGCAAGTGATCATCGTGCTCACCCAACTGGAGGGCAGTGGCGGCTTCAGCATCGCCCACCGGCTAACCCATCGGTTGGCCAACTCGCGCGGCCTTCACGACTGGGGGCCACCCGGTGCCACCCATTGCCCGCCCATTGAGAATGTGCATGGATTGCACGCCCCGCGGCTGATCACCTAGAATGGGATTGCCACTTGGGATCGGGAATGGCGAAAGATGGGGAGCGGGCCACACATATTCCTTTCGGTGTTCTCTCTCGATGTTTCCTTGTGCGTATCCTGATTTGCATGCGTCTCCGCTCATTTCTACCCGTACTCTAGTCGATGTTTTGTAAACGTATCACATCACAGCAAAAACCAAAAGCTAAAACCAACCAACAAACAAATCAAACCATATATATGTGTATAGATCCGTGCAGATATGATATATGTGTTTATGTACTAAGGCGCATTCGGAACAGCGGAGCAGATCGGTTGGGATACGGCGGGGACTGGAAACCGAAATCCGGAGGCCCAGGACCTCGGCATGATTCCCTCGAGATCAAATGATATATGTTTTGATTTCAGCGCAGATGATTATGGATTATATAGATATGTATTGTGAATTTAAGTGCATCCAATATTCATATGTGTATTGTTTTAAAAATAAAGACTACAAGTTATAAAAGCAAAAAAGTTATGTAAATATTTTCAATAAGTAAGGAATTGTGCTACGTTTATGACATTTGGTCTATAATCACAAAATACTTTTTTTTTTAAATAAAAAAAACCGTTATTTGTTTTGTCTCTTGTAATGAGAAAAATTAATATTCTAAAATAGAGAACTAACTTTCATTTAAAATTGGGCGCTTGATTAAATAGGCCAAGTTGGCATCACCAAACTATTACCGATATTTCACAAAATCATCGAGCAATTGCTCATCTTTAAAGCCTAGTATTCAGATCGAAAAACGAGTACGCTAGCGTAAAAACTTTAATATTTCCAGTGTGACCAAAATTTCGAGAGTTCAGCAGAATTAAGCGTGCTAAGGTCGTACTGTCAACCAGCTGGGTTTGTTGACAAGCAGTTACAATTCCAATATCGTATTTGCGGGAAAAAGCCTTTAAAATATATTATCAACTACCTTGGCAAGACAAGTCTGCCGCTGCACAAAGAAATTAAAAAACAATACAATTTAAATTTAACAGTTGTTTTTTTTAATTTACTGATAAATATTTGCTAATTTAAAGTTCATAGCTGCACTGGTTATTAATACTGGTTAGAGATCGAAAAATATCGATGATGCCCAGCCAGACATCGATATTAGCGATATTTTGAAAACATCGATGTTAGCATCGATGTTGCTCCACCTCTATCTAGTGCTATTTTGTTCGTCATTACGTTGATTTCTTCGTTCGTTTCGTGTTTTATTTTAAAATGGCCGATACAAAGGGCGTGAGTAGCCGCTGTTTATTTGTTCAAGTGTCGTATGGATGTAGGGATAAATCCGGCGAACAGTGGGTGTGCCACCAGTGTATATAGATTGCATACCGGGGATGCCGACAAAGCCGATTCCGCCGCAGCCTCTGTTGATTTGTTTGCCGCTCCTCCTCCGTCCGTTTATCGGCCGCTCCTCCTCCCCCACTCGTTCCTTCGCCTTCGTTGTCCCCTCGCCTTTCGTTCACAGGGCTGGACTTCGAAGTGGAAATGGAAATCAAGTGATTCACAACATGCCGGCGGCGTCGGCATTCTTCCTTTGTTTCCGGGATCTTTTCTCTCTCCCCTTCTCTCAGTCGCCTTTGACCCACATAATATCGCTTATTGCTCCGAAGAAATGGCAGGAGAAATGCTGAGAAATGGGTGCCAATTGTTTGGGGGGCCCAAGAGAAATTTTTCACTGTGCGTGATGGGCATGCAAAACAAGTCAAGCAAGCAACCGCTTTCTAAGACTCAAAACTCTAACTACCAGTCTAGCCCTATATTAAACTGAAAACTTAAATTGATAATGCCGAAATGCTCCTTATAGACTGGTTCTTAACCCTAAAAACTTCCATTACCAAAGCGGGTTATTTTATTATTTCTATCTTTAAGTCCTTAAAACTTGAATTTTAAAAGCTAATTAGGCTATTTATAAATTTCACATAATTTAGTAAACTTTTAGTTATTTTCCAACGCTTAAGATCATTTTTTTTGATTCCTTATATATTTTTATTAATCTACATTTGTTCCACATTATGAATGAACATACATATCTTTTAAAACTGTTTCTATAATATTAGTAAAGAACATTGCCTAAAACGTTATTTTTATTAAAACATTTACCATCTCTGCTTCATAAGCATTGTTTTTTTGTATCATAACAAAGTCTGTTTATTTACACATTTTTTATAGTTTTATTTTTGCAAGAGTAAACAAAAAATCGAGGGTGTTCAGTGGTTTAATGTATTGGTTAGGTCTCTGTAGTTCTGTTGATGTGGTTTTATCATATAAATGGATTAATATGCATAGTTTGTAATTTTAATGATTAATAAATTTTGTTGCCTCTTACGTGGATCATTTAAAGTTTGCATAAGTTAGATTACTGTTGAAACTGTGAATCATGTCTTATCAAAATGCATCTAATCATTAAAGTCTACCTGGTAATGGAAAATTCATTAAATGAATCCCAATCTTTCACGTCCAAATAGGATAAAAGTAATGTTCACTTTAAAATGTTTGGCTAAGTGACAAAAGGATATTAAGTGTAGTATGGCTGTTATATTAAATACTTAAGAACACATCATATAATTATTATTATTTACTTGCAGTTTTCCAGCATTGAGACGCCCGGCTACGTGGGCTTCGCCAACTTGCCGAACCAGGTGCATCGCAAGTCCGTAAAGAAGGGCTTCGAGTTCACTCTTATGGTGGTCGGCGAATCCGGGCTCGGCAAGTCCACGCTGGTCAATAGCCTTTTCCTCACGGATCTCTATCCCGAACGTATCATTCCGGATGCCATAGGTAAACAAGCCTTTGTTGAGTCTCTGATTTAATTATTTACCTGAATGACCTTTCCCTTTTTATAGAGAAACAAAAGCAGACGGTAAAGCTCGAGGCATCGACGGTGGAAATCGAAGAACGAGGCGTCAAGCTGCGACTGACGGTGGTGGACACACCCGGATTTGGCGATGCCATCGACAACTCCAACAGCTTCGGCGCAATACTTGAGTACATCGATGAGCAATACGAGCGCTTCCTGCGCGACGAAAGTGGTCTCAACAGACGCAACATTGTGGACAATCGCATTCACTGTTGTTTCTACTTTATATCGCCCTTTGGCCATGGGTGAGAACACCTTATTATTATTACCTTAAGCAAATATTAATTGTTGTGAGTTCTCTACTTTCACTACAGCCTCAAACCCCTTGACGTGGAGTTCATGAAGAAGTTGCACTCTAAGGTTAATATTGTCCCCGTGATCGCCAAGGCTGATTGCCTTACGAAGAAGGAGATTTTGCGCCTAAAGTGCCGCATCATGCAGGAGATCGAGAGCCACGGCATCAAGATTTATCCACTGCCAGACTGTGATTCCGATGAGGATGAGGACTATAAGGAGCAGGTGAAGCAACTGAAGGAAGCTGTGCCTTTCGCCGTCTGCGGCGCCAACACTCTGCTCGAGGTCAAGGGCAAGAAGGTGCGCGGTCGTCTATATCCATGGGGCGTGGTCGAGGTGGAAAATCCTGATCACTGCGACTTTATCAAGCTGCGCACCATGCTGATGTAAGTGATTCGAAAGGGAAAACCCACAAACGGATCCTTTTTCGATTTGTTTATCGCTTGTTAACTGATCGATATTCCAATTGCCCAACAGCACTCACATGCAGGACCTGCAGGAGGTGACGCAGGAGGTGCACTACGAAAACTACCGCTCCGACCGCCTGGCTAAGGGTATCAAGGGCAAGGAGAACGGCGTGAAGGCCGACCGGGACAGCAATTCGCAGGTGGTGACCAACAGCGTGCTCGGCGAGAAAGACCGCATCCTGCAGGAGAAGGAGGCCGAGCTGCGACGCATGCAGGAGATGCTTGCCCAGATGCAGGCGCGCATGCAGGCCCAGCAATGAACAGGCGGGTATATTTTGTATATACGCGCAGAGCGGAGGCGGCAATCTATAGTTATACACTCAAGTCGTATATATACATATACAAAACATATATTTTGTACGCAGATTTTGGTTGCGATCGCGCTTTAATTCTACTCTCAATTGTGAAACGACGGGCGCTAAGTATTCTGTATTAATTTCGCATTCACCGTATATATATTCGTAGGATTTAGGTATACACACCATATACATTTATACACATAAACAACATACACCTGCCGCGTATGCAAAACGTCTGCAATGCAATTGCTCCATCAAAAAAAAAACCAACCATCAGCGAACTCACTTCATATCACTCCTATCAAGCGAAACACACAAAAACAACTATATTCCTACTATGTATTTAGACGCGATTAACAATGGATTATTATTGTACTCTGCATTTAGACTAAGCGAAACCAATCCGATTTATATTGTATGTTGATTCATTTTTGTCTGTTTACCTTATGTGTAGTCTCAAAGCGAGCGATTTATTTAGGTTATACTATGTGCGTAGCAGCCTTCTCCTCCGATTTTACTCGACAATCATGGGCGTTATCCCCTAGTGCCGCCTGATTCCTAAGCACGATCTGGTTGAACAAGCAGTGAACCCTTCCTAGGCGGTCCCAGGATCTCATGTTTAGTTGTAAAAACTCGGTTTAGAAGGCTGCTCGCTAAAAAGTGCACTCCTCGAACGGATGAAACAAAAACCAAAATGTGAAATCTCTTTTATTATGTATATGAAGACTTTTTTAACCCAATATAATCCCCTATGAATACATCTATATGTATGCTTTTTATACAATTTGTAAACCAGCCTGTCTAACGCATTTTTGTTCATGGTTGGGCACAGGGGTTTCGAGTTAAGCTCAAAGGTTTGTGGTGGTAAAATCTCCAGAAATCAAACCAAATTTTAGCGATTTACACTCTTGGTAGTTCAATTGCTTCAATTCAATTTATTTAAAAGCTAAATAAAAAGATTTGTAACGTAAATAGTATTTATTAATATCTGATAGATTTCTCAACAAGAAAGGAAGCGAACTTCGGCAAGCCGAAGTTTATATACCCTCGCCTACATTTTGATTTCTATGCCTATATTACTAAAAACAATGAAACTGTGTCGCCTTTGCGTTGCATTTTGCCCTCGTTCTATGGCATCTATATGATATTGTTGTCCGATTTTAACTTAATTAAAACTGTAAGTCCATAATATTTAAATATTACCAAATCGCAAAGAACAAAAAAAAAATGTTTTTGAATTGTTTTTTCCGATTGTTCCCATGGGAGTTATATGTTATAGTCGGCCGATCCGGCTCGTTCCGACTTATATATTACCTGCAATAGAAAGACAACTTTTGGGAAAGTTTCAAGCAGATAGCCTGAAAACTGAAAGACTAGTTTGCGCAGAAACGGACGGACGGACAGACGGACATGGCTAGATCGACTCTTCTGGTGATGCTGATCAAGAATATATATACTTTATAGGGTCGGAAATGTTTCCTTCACTCTGCAAGGGTATAAAACTGCAGGCCAATCTGTAAAAGGAATTTATAAAAATCTATTTCTGTATT